GGTAAAAGCTGGCTTTTGCTCTTGGCAAACTCTGGGATTCAGCCATTACTTTTTTGACCTGAGAATTCTTTACTTTCTTGCTAGCTCATAAATGCGTATGCCAAAGTATATATATTAATCTGGATGTTTTGTTCCCTGTGAGACAGTCAATCCAAGACCCAGATTGCCACATTACTGCTCCTTTGTAATATTTTTTACACCTAGATTGTACATATTCTTAATAATTCTTTTTAATGAGGACCCAGAAACTTCTGTTTCCTATTTCCTAGTGTCCTAGTTTTCTATCCCATGAGCTCACTCTAGATCCAGAGACCAAGCATGACTTTACTGTTTCTCTATTATTCACAATTTCATAATTGTTGGCCACTTCAAACTCTCTTCCTTCTCTTCTACTCAAGTTTATGAAGTGATTCTTTTATCAAAACCTCCCAACCTCTGAGGTATGGATAATCACATTCTAATACATGAGAAGATTGAGGCTCACCAGAGTATTATATAAGGTTGCGTACCTAGTGAGTGAGCCAGGACTCATATCCTTTAGACTCGAAGTTCCGCTAGTTCAAACGAACACCTATAGCTTTCTTCTGTTTTTATGGTGTTATCTTCATTCTTATGTAGTCTTCACTTTCTTCATTCATGATTGATGCTGTATTTGCAGATCTCATTTAACTTTTTGTGATTTTCCTGTCTCAATGCAATTGTCCTTATAGATGTGAATATTTCTGCTCACTCATAGTGGTCTTAATAAGTTGCTTTTAAAATTATTTCCAGCCCTATCCTTTTCCCCCAAAACTTAATTCAACTCCAAAAGCGCCTTACTTTGTACAGGAAAGAGACCATCTTAACATTGACATTTATATGCTTTACCTTCTTCCTCTCCCTTTTTTGGGGGGATGTTGGTGGTGGACTCACATTCATACAAACCTGATTCTGAGGATACATTCAACAAATATTTGACAACTAGTTGAGACCAATGTGTAAAGTATTGTTAGGCTCCAGATGTACAATGGTGAGCATGAATTTCATGCTCACACATCTTACAAAACAAAGGGATCTTTTGAACGTCCAATGAAAACAAGCTCCCCATTAGTAAGATTCTCATGCTAATCATCAGTAGGAAGAGTCATAAACCTGGTGTCCATGCACAGAAGCAAATTCAGTCTCTTTTGCCAAAACTAGAGTCCTGAAGAAAACTGGTTATGAGTTGTTTCCCTCATCTCATTTACATGCATTTCCATTATGCTTCCAATACTTCACTGTTTACATTTCCTTAATTTATTTCGGCTCCTTTGTAATTGCTCCTTTTTCTTGCCCTCACAGTTTCCTCATTTCCTAAGTTCTAAGTTACTACTCCCTACTCCCTTAAGCCTGTAATTCTACTTCATAAAGATTTTCTTACACTTCTTTTTATAAAGAGGTCTGAAATGCAACAGTTATAGCTTTGTCTCAATCTGTTTTGGATAGACTCTCTTCGCCTGCTTTCCTCTTCATGGAACACAAAGGAAAATATCCTTTATCAAGTGTCTACTTATTAAATTACCTTCTTAAATCTTCACAAGAACCTTGACAAAAAATAACATTGCAGGTAGAAAATTGTTACTCAGGGAAATAAAGTGACTTAATGAAGGTCACACAGACACAAAACTGGCATTGAAGTCCTAGTGTGTCAGGCTCCCAGTCGTTCTACTTCCTCATGCTCTTTCTTCTAAATCATGTCATCTTTTTATCCCAGGGCACTCATGCATCCTAAGTATATTTTCTTTTCTTTCTTTTTTTTGGAGGAAGATTAGCCCTCAGCTAACTACTGCCAGTCCTCCTCTTTTTGCTGAGGAAGCCTGCCTCTGAGCTAACATCCGTGCCCATCTTCCTCTAGTTTATACATGGGACTCCTACCACAGCATGGCTGCCAAGCAGTGCCATGTCCACACCCGGGATCCGAACCAGCAAACCCCGGGCCGCCGAGAAGCGGAACGTGCGAACTTAACCGCTGCGCCACTGGGCCGGCCCCGTATATTTTCTTTTCTTAACACCACATAAAGTTTCTCTTCTTCTTTCCTCCAGTCCTTTCTTAAAGCTTTCCTGTTAACTTCAACAGTAAGTGACTTTTCTGGCTTTATCTGAAAAGAAATCTTGAGCTTGCCCTTTCAGTTTTACAGGGATACTCTTTCTTTTCACAAGCTGGAGATAACCCAGCCATTGAAGGGGGCAGTTACATCACTGCCCTGTGCATAAGGACACTTTGCTTGACCATACACGTCACCTTAAAAAAGCTTGAGTATCATCTCAGTTTTCTTTAATCCCCATATGATTAATGTCCCTAAACATGTTGCTCTTGGAGTAACCCTGTTCCATTTTTGTTCTAACATTTTCTGAAGAGCACAATCTCTTCAGCTACTGAAAGCTCGTAACTTTATGTCTTTATGCTCAGATTCATTCACATTTTTGCGTAAGGGTCTTCATCAACAGTTCACTGCTTATTCTCATTTCCTCCAAACAGATGTTACTGGAGCCTTTCTTTAAAGCAAATCCATCCTCCCTCTTAAACTGTGATGACTTGCTCCTCTCTCTTCCTTCAGTTCTCCAAATAAATGGTCGTACAGTGTAATTTTTATATCTTCCTCCAAATTCCCATTTTCCTTGGGCTTTTTGTTCATTATTCTAGCTTTCAGGTGAATGTAGTCAACTGCTTTCAATAAACAACCCCATTTACAGTTAACAGCATGTGTAACCCTAAGTTCAGGAAACAAAACTATTAACTGTACATCCAATGTTTCTTCATGTCTGTTTCATTAATGATCTTCCATGGTCTGAATCTTTCTTATCCTCTACTTCCTGGGCTATGCATGAATAGTTGAGAAATGCTGAGCACCTCCCTTCACTTTCTCTTTCCTTCATGCACCATTCACACAGGTACGGATGTGAGTTATTCAGAAGGCACTATCTCTCTTTTTATTAGGATGAATAAACTGTCAAATAAATTAATTCACTTAAAGTCAGACAGTAAGTCAATGGTAGAGCAAAAACTGCAACCATCATTTAAGGTTCCTTTTTCCAGAATATTTTATTGTGCCGAGCCCAAGGGATGTTCACAATAGTAAAATCAGCCAAAATGGCCTTTTCTACTCTTTAGCCAGGCAATTAAAAAAAAGGCAAATAGTGCATAAGGCTATGTTTACCAAGCTCTCTGCAGAGACAACTAAAATCAAAATACCAGTTTTCCACCCTTCCATTGTAACGACATAATTGTATTAAATTCTTTTCAAATCACCCAGCAGAGAAACAAAGCTGTTTCTTTTTGCTGAGTGGGCTTTTGCTTGTTACATGCAAATAAACATTTAGGAAGTCAGTGGATTTGACTATTCTGAGCAAAATTGTCCCCTGTGTTTTCAGAGCTAGGATTGCACTATTTACATGTGAACGTACACACATACAAATTTTCTAATTTAAAAGAGGTATTGAATCATACGTCCCCCTAATAGAACAATTCAGTTTTACCCGCTTGGCACGTTCATTCAATACCAACCCATGCTGCTTTGCTCCTACAGTAATAATTTACAACTCAGCAAAAGTCAAGAATTATTTTACTGATTTATCTTCTGCAGAGTGTAAGTAGAGTCACCAACAGCAAAGACAATAAAAAAATACTAATAACCAAACCACAAATAAAAGAAGTCATGTAGTTTGAAGATCATCATTTATAGTCAAGTTTCCAAAGCATTTTCCACATACATCATCATCTTTTGATTCCATCCATTAGCTCAGATATTAACAATTCCCACTAAGTAAATCAGCCAATAGGCTCAGTCTACGCCTGACACTAACGCTTCACCAATTTATGCTCCTTCTGTCCAACAATACTAGTTGTGTGGACCTCAGAATTTTGAAACCTAAATTCCTTTACCTAAAAAATTGGAGGATTGGAATTGAACCCCGGCACCAACAAAATTTTGATTCCAGGTACAGCACGTTGTTTGAAAACAGAATATTCTAATGTTATTGTGCATGATTCCAGAAATTTTAATTCTCATAGGTATAATAATACTCAAACATCATTAACTCCATCTCAGAATAATTTAGATATCCTTTTGTAAATAAGTGATTCTACATCAAGAAAAACTATAGCCTATGCTTTAATATACAATTATGTCCCTAGAAACTTTGGGAAAATCCTTTTTTTCCTAACAAACTAAAAAAATTTTGAGTCTCTTCTTTATAAACCAAAGAAAGCCTTGGAAATACAACCATCCTTCAATCTGTTCAGAGGATTATATTTGGATTTCCCTGAGATTTCAATAAAGCACACATCACAAGTTCATCTGAACCAAGAGCAAAACACAATCAACTTTTAGGATTTCCATTTTCAAACAAAGGGTTTAACTTAATGTTGGCTAGCTATTACCCACTTAACACATTAATAATACATACTTTTTCTTCACAGGGCTAGTTGACTTAATTTCTTTTTAACCACAAATACCATAAACCACCTAAGACCGACATTAACAGGGGCGATCTAATTTTTTCATTACCCAGACTTATATGTTCAGGTTTTAACTATGTAAGTTACATAATTATCAAACTCCACTTAAAAAAAAAATCAGTTTGTGCTTTTAATTGAAAAGGCATTTATTTAAACATTTTTAAAATGGTCTATGGAATATAGCTTAGTTATAAAGTGCAATTCTTGGCTCTACAAAATAATTCTTGGAAGGTGTTTCATAAAATATTTAATTATTTTTCATTATCTGCAGTTTTAGTTAGTTTAATATTAAATGAAGTATTTTAAAGACTAACTTGCTTAAAAATGAGGAAAAAACTGGCCTCTCAGTTCAAAATCTGAATTACTATAAATCTTCCAGTAATGCTATCAATATTACACATATTTTAAAAATATTTTTTAAATGGCCTGTTTATGCACTGAAACAGAAGTAATGAAGTTAACAGTATACTTTGATACAAATGGTTTTCATTAAATCTCTAGGTTTTTTAAAATAATCTTTTAGGCAGTGTGCAAGCGGTCTTATGCAGAAATGGGAAAAGCTTTTGCCTAACCAAAGAACACACTACGCGAAACATAAGTGAAAGAAGAAGAGTACTTCAGAGGGGAGCAATGATTAGTTCAAGTGAACCATACGGGCTCCTGGAAGGGCAAACAAGAGTCACACGAGGACTTGGATTTCATGGGAGTCTCAAACTGAAAAAATTCATTATTCCAGCACCTCAAACTCTATCTGTCCCTATAGATGACTTATGTCAATTCCTTATCTTGGCTACTAATGGACTCTGGGAAGTTCTGGATAAAAAGGAAGTCACTGCACTGGCAATTACAATGTTTCAAGCGTATCAAGAAACATACTGTTCTAGCTCACAAAACACACCTTCACCATCCCCAGGGCCTTCGTTTTGCCCAATCAATGAACCAAGTGTTTCTAAGTCAGAAAGTAATATTCACATACTGTTTCAGTACAAACCTGAATCTGAAGAATGTATGTCAAATATAAATTCAAAAGAAAATCTGACTGATTCAAAATATTCTAAATATTGCACTTTTAACCCTAAAAATGAACAAACATTTCCACCAGAAATGACTAACCATGATCCTTGCAGTGAGAAAGAAAGTGATGGACCAACCAGTGTAGATGGTGTGCCAAAAGAGTCAAGTGAAAAAGAAAAAGAGACATGTGCCAAGAGTTTCTATGAAAGTGCAGCTGAGTATATTAGCCATGAACTTGTAAATGCTGCTTTAGCTGCTGGCTCCAGAGACAACATTACAGTTATGGTAATTCTCCTCAGTGGAAGTGAATATGTTTCTGACATAAAAGGTAAAGTTCCCATTATCCAGAGTACAAAAATATAAAGATAATTCTTCAATGAACCAGGTATTAGGATAATATATCAATACCATGCAAATCATATTTTAAGAATGGAGTAAAGAAAATATAAAAGCAGATTTTAGGTTACATAATACCATTCATATATGTTCACTCTTCCACGCCAAAAAAGAGAGAAAAACCAGTACTTGCTTTTTATACCACTTTATTCCAACCTGAGCACCTCAATATAAAACTAAACACTGGTGAACTGTTTTCCTTACTAATTCTGAATTACTGTAAATGTACAAGTTCTGCTAGCAGTTCAACACTTAAATAGATTAAATCATCTCTGACACATGGTAGATTTCATATAATGAAAATACCTAAAACAATTAGTGCAATATACTGATCAGAATAAAATGAACTTTGGAAAACAAGGCTGCAAGATTGTTACTAACATATTGCAATACTTAAGTTACAAATTACTGGTACATTGTTTATTATGGTTCTAGCCAGGTAGGAACAACTGAAGCCCCTTCCTTTCAAAGGAGGAGAGAAGGAAAAAATTAGCTGTTTTTAGTAACTGTACATTTTGTATACTTTAAGCAACTCTTAAATATTACAGAAAAGTAATAAACATATATGGAGACTACAATGCAGTACCCTATTTACAGTACAGCCGAAGATCGAATTTAAAATAATCAAGTTTGAATGTACATAATTGTTAGTGCATTGACTATATTACGTCCAAAGGGAACAAAAGCCCCCTCCCTGCCCCCAAACAACAAAACCTATGTAATGGCCAGCAGTGATTAAACGGAATCACAGACACCTGGTTCGTTTCAGTTTTGTTGAAGACCTCACATGTTTGAAGGGAACACTATCCATTAAGATGCATTTATCAGTTTTCATATTCTTAAAACAAGGTGGGTTTACATCTGATTTTTTTTACCCCATTTAAAAAATAACAGGACTGGCTATAATTTAGATGCCACTATTATTCATTTCTTCCCCCTGAATATGTGGGACTGTTTTCCTGTGGCTCATTTGTTAAAATATGGAATGTACACTTTAAATATGGATACTAAGAGAAATTACCAGTTGCCTGAATACTATAGCTAAGCACAAGTATCTTTAGAATTCCCTTCTAAAAAAAGAATCTTTGAAAAGCCCAAACGAGTAAGTTCCAAATCTTTCTCATATTATTGGCTGGTTAACTGTGGGTTCAAATAGTCATTTGTCGACATCCCTGGTGATGAGAAATGATTCCCCCTAACCTTCCAAGGAAAAACAAGCGTACACACAGCTCTCATTTTCCCCTTCTACTGCTGAAACATTATTCAGAGGGTCACATGCATGTTATTAAAAATTAAGTTCAAAACACTTAAAATAATTCTGTATTAGAAACTTGACTCTATCATAAGTCTCTTCTTTTTGGAAGTCATACTGGGCTGGTTAAATGCTCCAATTCCACTGTTATTAACATTTAGGAAGCAGAAGAATATTCCAGCTAGTTCAAACTGGAGGTTTAGTTACTACAACACTGACTCCTGGTTGGCTGTGTGGGTTCAGTAAGGTCTACTCCTCTTCCTCTGGCAGAATTTGCTCCGGGATTCTGTGGTTCATTCTTTGGCAACTTTTTAGCTGAGAGATACATTATCAAAATAAACACAATTAGAATATTCATATTAGAATAACTTTCATCTGCTTACTTATAATCTTTCTTTCCAGTTGAATTGAAGGAATGGTAAAATAGGGACCAAGTGCAGACACAATTAAAACTTAACTTCACTCGAGTTAGATTTAATTCTTTAGACAGATTAACTTAATAACCATAGTAGTACTTTATTTCATAATTATTAATACTTCTATTATTCAAAGAAAATCGAAGTTAATAAAGATGATGGCCAGACACTCTGGTTAAGAAGTTCGGCTCATATCAATGTTCTTTGGACAGTCACAACACTTTTTGGAACAAGTCAGGATATAAACAAATACCACCACCATCACCCCAGCAACTTGTCCTGCAGGGTGCAACCTAATTATTACCCTAAATTATGATGGACCGCAGCTTCTATTTAATTCCTAGTTTACACAGACTTCACCCTTCCAACATCTACCATTTTTCTCTCAAATGGCTAATTAAGATCTCTAATCTGATTCACCAGTAGCTCTGCCTAATATAAGGAGACTTAATCCTGAATGTTCTCTCTCAAAAATCTATTTCCCAATTTTGAGTCAGATGAGCATGACTTGCCACATGCAGACAAAGCTCCTCAACCATCAGCTATGACTTTAACTTTGCTAAGCACTAAGCTCTATACAGCTAATAGCTGTTCTCTGGAGCGTGACTCCCCCAAGTAAAAAATTTACCTGCTAGATGTAGTCTGCTTGGATCCCTAAAATCCTTGATGTGGTGGATTCATTAAACATCTCTAAAAGTGCTGATTTTAAGGATGGCTAGACACACTGGTTTCTATCATCCATCCAGTCTATGGTAAGACTCTAGCTTTACCTTAGTGCTTTGGCTACATAAAAGCTGAACATGCTCTACTTCAAAATCTAAAGGGCTAGCTGAGTTTTGATCTTTTATCTTTTATCTATTCTATTATTCCACATCAGCGTTAATCATCTTTAGAATCCTAGAAGCTGGGCTGACAATGGATCTGAGAGCCAGGAGCACTGAAGTTTGGGAAGAAAAGCCTTCACCTTGGGTCATTGCTCTAGGAATGGCTCTAGGAATGGTAGTATAAATGGTAATACAATGGTAAATTTCCAGTCAAATGTATTTACAAACAAAGCCCTGTAGGGACAAAGAGTAGGCTAGCATTATAAACTTTATTATAATTTACAATAAGGTTTTGGACTGAGTGATCATTTCTCCCTTTAGCACACTTCTCAAAGGGTTGGTTTTCTGTTAATTAGATCTGAGTGAAATTAGGAGGCTGAAGGAAATAACCTGAAATTAGGAACTTTTAGCTTCTATTGGTTAATTTTTACTGTGTGGGGATAAACTAAAACATATGTTAGGGGTCAAAAGAAGAGGTCTCCTGTTTTATATCTTATTGAATGTTATCCAAGTGAAGCTGGTACCCATGTTTTGTATATGGTATATGGTAATTGCAGCTTATCAATTTGTCCTTGAATTAATTAGAATTGCTGAGAAGCCAAAAATCCTGGATCAAGTTAATGAAGATGTGCAATAACAGAAGCCACTCAAGATCTTATCAAATTAAAAGCAGATAAATAAATTTATTATGCTCTCACTACTCCCTTTGGAAAGTCATCAATAGTGAAAATAAGAGTGCACTGGGTGATTTACTTAAGTTACTAATCTGGTAAAATAAATAGAAAGGCCACAATTCAATTTACACTTGCGATTTCTTTCAAGGAAAGACATTCTAATTTCAGACAAAAGCTCTAATACGTAGGCTACTGTCTGACTGGAAAAATGACTTTATTAGCACATCTGAATAAAACGTACAAATGAAATGAAGCTCATATGGGGACTCTTCATACCATTGGAAAGGTTTAAAGTTCATTCTGATTTGAGGGACTTATTATCTCCTGTTTCCTGTTATTAATTTTTCACATGTGGTTCTGGGTTTAATCTGTCCCATTTATAAAAAGAACATATTGTTGCATAATCCTTCACAACTGTGCTAGTATTTCCCTAATAAATTGCAAGCTTGAGGTACTCAGGAAAATATTTCACACAAACAGGCAAGTTTTTTCCTAAATGAGCCACCATTATCTCTCTCACCTAGTGAAAGACATTCTAACAGTATCTGCAGGTTTAACTGGGTTTTCTTTAGCCTCTGAATCAGCTGTTAATTGGTTACTTTGTATGACTTCAATATAAAAGAGTATTTCTTATTTGGGGATAGAAAGGTGGAGACCCTAGTTAATAATCACTGCTGTATAATAAAAGATGTTATAGGACGAGAAGAGTGCTTGGCACATGAACAACAGTGTGGAGGCAGTAAACTGTGAGAGCCACCAAAGACGACCTTCCCATAGAATCTGCATCTTAAAACTATTGGAAAGAGGTTAGTCAATAGAAATACTTTTATTTTTGTCATAGAAAAAAGGAAGCTTCCTTATTACTACTACATCTATATTATCTACAATCAACAACTGTGGAAGAGCAATGATCATCAGTTAAAAGCACCTTAAAGGAAAGGTCAAGAGCACTGTGCAGTGTCAAATGACCACTGAAGTCATCTAAAGCATGGAGGTCGCTCTGCTTTCCCTCCTTCTCTCTGTGCCTCAATGCTTTGAAACTTTTCCCATTACAATATTTGCAGTAAAATAATTTGTGAATCTGTATACTTATGTATCATGTACTTTATGTTATATTTGTCAATAATCAATGATTTAAAACTTGAGAAACAAAAACAGTGTTCTGTTCATGCCAAAGAAGAGATGAAGACAGCTACTCATCAGTGAAGAGAAAAAAATCTCATTATGCCTACATGCTGCATTCAAAAATACTGCTCTGAGTTTATCATCCTTTTATATAAAAAGTACAATCTAATAGGAAAACATATTTATCCAAATTTCTAAGTGAAATCTTTAGAAAATCTATCTGCCTAAACTATCACCTCAAAGTTCAGGCTTTCAACTCACCTAGAACAAACTTAACTAAACTGAAAGTGTTACAAACTAATAGGTAATAATCTTTCAAATTTAATAATATTCCTAACAAAGTAATGTTTGGTAGAAGGGATCTAGAATAGTAATATAATCATTAAAAAAGGGAGAAAACCCAAGAGTTTTTTAAAGGAAGACAGTATGTAAAAGAAAACCAAGTATGTCCCAGTATAACTTGTTTTGCCTACATTTATTGTTTGGGAAAAAAACGTTAATCTTACCTATTGCCATGAATATTTCATTCACATTCATTGATGTTTTAGCTGATGTCTCCATGAATAATAAACTGTTGTCATCTGCATAGGACTGTGCTTCCTGTTTATAGAAGAAAAAAAATAATACATATCTTTTGCACATCCTATACCTGCCTTATGTTTGTTAGAAAAAAAAGAGGCTCCTTTATTACTACTCCAATTTGATTACTTATACCCAATAAATGTGTAATAAGCAATTATTTCTAGTCAAAAGTAAAACAAAGGGAAGTGCACTATGTAGGATATCTTTATAATTTTCTTTTTCCTTTACCTTCTTGAACTGTCCCATCCTGATTAATCTGGTCTCACATTAAATCTGCTTTCAAATGAGGAGGTCGGGGGTTAGGGGGGTGGTGAATTATCCTATTCTAAACATAAAACCCTCTTTGATCTCTATGGCAAATTTTACTTATGTTCATTATCTGCAATGAAGACAAATGGAAATCAAATATCCAACACTGGCTTCAACCACTAAATGGTACCTTTATATTCAATTCTGAATGACTTCTACGAGCAACATTTTGATTTTGAATATATCATGAATCATTCCTTTGAAAATTATATTACTACTCTACATTTTTGTCATGCTTTACAGTTTACACGTATTATGCCTTTAATCCTCACAGCTGTTGTGAAGAACAACCAATTATCTTTCCCATTTGACAAAAGAAGAAAATGAGATTCCTTTGAACTGTATGTGACAGGGCTACTTTTGACTATAATTTAAGTGCTCTATCTACCATTCTATGCTGGGGAGGTAACTACTTTAGAAAGAGTAATAGATACTATACCTCACATGGCTGTCACTAGAATTAAATAAAACCGCATGTGCAACATGCTCAGCGTACTACCTAATGGTGCAAGAAATATCAGTTCCCTTTCTCTCAGTACATGTACTCTACATCTAGAGCCATTATCCAGAAAGAAAATTATCCTATCACTGAAATTATTTATATAACAGCCACAAACAAACTTCTCTGGTAGAGAAGCTGAAGAGCAAGAGAACAGGAGAAGTTTAAAAATGTCTAACTAGAGACATTTCCTTTGTTTTAAATGATTGCACTTGCTCTGTTTTGCAGCAGGGAACATTCTTTGTTAGCTAGCTTTTCTGAGTCTTTTATTTTTGAAGGCCCTTTAAGAACAAACACATGAGTCTAAATGTATATGTACATATGGGTATGTGTATATGCTGATATATATATTGGTAGATAAACAGGAAACGGTTAGGAAGAATGCTAATGTATGTGTGTGGGGGGGATTAGGGTAGGAGGCAATCACTTTTGCTTTCTATTATTTCTGCGCTGTTTGTGAACAATAACTTCTTTTGTAACTGTTTCAGGTCAACAAAATCTTTGAATCAATTTATACATTACAATTATGTAAAGATGTTTAAAAATTCAGGTTTATAATGAGAAGCATTTCACTGCATACAGTACATAACATTTGTTAAAAAAATTTGTATTTTCTATTTTTGCATGGTTTTAAAATTATAACTGTAATTCAAGTGTGGATACAGAAAAACAATTTACAATAAATATGTGCCTTCAAGTGAAAGTTAAATTCAACATACCTGGAAATCGACAGCTCTTTTATTTGCAAGGTCAGCCTTGTTTCCTGATAAAGCTATTACAATGTTAGGACTGGCTTGCCTCTGAAGTTCTTTAACCCAGTTTTTGGCTCTGGCAAAGGACTCCTGGGAAACAAAGAAATGACTATTTGGCACAGGCTGAAAAAATGGTTAGGGAGCATCTTTGTGAGACAAGCCTTTAAAGACTATCCAATGTGACTCTTGGAAAGAAATTCTTAGGACTATTGTATTATTTGAGACACTTTCAAATCAGCTTTTGTAACTCATAAAAGCTTTGGCAGAAATGTCATGCTTGACTATCAAAAAGATTTTAAAAAATCTTTTCTCTAATTGAAATTCTGAATACCAAAAATGGATATTCAAACTAGTTTCACTGTAGAATGCATTTCTACTTACCTCATTTGTGATATCATAAACAACTATGGCAGCTTGTGCTCCTCTGTAGTACATTGGTGCTAGGCTATGGTATCGTTCTTGACCAGCTGTATCCCATATTTCAAACTTTACTGTTGTGTCATCAAGACACACAGTTTGGGTTAGAAAAGCAGCTGCAAGAAGAAGATGTCTGCAATAAGTTTATCGTTTCCCCCCTAAAATTTTCATAATATAGAAAACACCTGGAAACCTGATATATTGCACACCCGTAGTTAACAGTGGCTTTAAATACTAAAAGATCTGTGCTTCAAAGCTAGATAATATATATACGGCTTACCTATAAGATCTTCATATTTAAATCACAGATTGCAAGTTTCTTCTACTTTCTTAAAGCTTGATGCAATATTAAATATTTACTATTTCTTAAATTGTTTTACAAAGTGTAATTTAAAAATTTAAAATTGTAAACCAATTTAAGAATTATACAGATATTCTGGAAAAATAGCGGGAGAATCAGCATATCTATAACTGCCATCTACACTGCCAACACCATGATTTCTGCTCCATTTTCCTGGTTTTTATTGGCGTACTCTGCGGATTTAGTCCATTACCACTAAATTAATATTTCTGTTATGATATTATTCCTTCAAAACATTATGACACTTTAATTTCTGTAATCATTCTCTCAACCTAGACTTAATTTGTCAAACATAGGTTCAACATTAACTCCTAGCTCTTTCATTCCCTGCCATAAAAATTTTCTGGATTTGTACTTTTTCATCTATTCTTTTCTCAGATTTTAACTTTAACAATAAGAAAATATCATTTTACAATATTTTTGCTTTTAAAATTAAGAGGTTGTCAAATCTTGCAAAGAATTACTCTATCACATTTTCTGAATTGCTTCATGAGCGCGGTAAAAAGTAAAATCTCTATTATAAATCTAATTCTTCTCCAGGAATAAACATCGGGAAAGACACCACAATGTATACTTAAGAAAAATGAAAAACAAGAAATTGGTTCATAAAAAGTAGGTTATAATCAAGTGAACTGAACTTCAAAATACCAACTAATAGATGGGGCTGGCCCCATGGCTGAGTGGTTAAGTTCGCCCACTCCACTGCAGGCAGCCCAGTGTTTCGTTGGTTTGAATCCTGGGCGTGGACGTCGCACTGCTCATCAAACCACGCTGAGGCAGCATCCCACCTGCCACAACTAGAAGGACCCACAACGAAGAATATACAACTATGTACCAGGGGGCAAAAAAATCAACTAATAGAGTAAGTTTCTAATCGTAGCTAGCTGCACTAAAAATACTTATGAACAAGACCTACAACACAGCCATTTCTAGCAGAATGCTGGCCAACAGTAACGAGACCTCACAGTTTCTTTTGTTCATTGGCTTTGGTAGTTAAACCCCTACGGCTCTATCACTCATCATTAATTGGTATGCTCTTCCCTTTTCCTTTCAGCTCAGGCTGTGGTATGCAACTCCTTCTCCCAAATTGGCACAGAATTAAGTTATAAAATTTTCCAGAACTCTGTCCTATGATGCAAAAGAATTAGGATCTATTTCTGTAAATAGTAGCAGTTTATCTAGTGACGTCAATATTTCATAAGAGATTCACTAGTTAACATGACATGTGCAGAATAAGCCAAGTCTAATTAAATATTATATCTCTTCTATATTAGATATAATATTTTTCATGCCATTGTTATTAGGCCAACTGGTTGCTGGCTTTAATATTAGCAACTATAATCTCAATTTTGCAAAAATCACAAGTGGAAATGTTTTTCTTTTGAGCTAAATTCTAATTAATAGTTCTGTGAATTCTCTGAATTCTCACAAGGGGCTAGTCACTTCTTTTACTATACATCATTAGCAGAAATACCCATTTTCTAAAATCCTATATTTATGGTAAAGAATACCAAGAAAGCATTATGTCACTTTTTCCCTCTTTTCATGAAAAGTTCTCCTGTAGAATCAAAAAATATTTTTAAACAAATAAAATTAAGCCTCTAAGACAGTACTCCTTTTTCAATAAAAGGGAAAACAGTAAAGGAATGGATCACAAAACATAAGCCTGTCTTCTCAAGTATATTTTGATGCAACTTGAAAAAATGTGTATTATAATTTGCATTTAGTGTTTGCTTTATCTCTTCTACGGTCACAAAGTACACCGCTAGTAAAACCAATCATTTACACTTCCACAGATCATCTAGGCTCAGGGAAGTAACTATTAGTTATGCTGCCTTAAAATAAATACAATCTAATTCTCAAACCAGTTCAAGATACTGCAAAAGGCCATCAATCTTTTTAATAAACGCATGTACAAAAATGATAAATACAGGTAAAGAAATCCCAACAAATATATTAAAAAAACAACAGCCCATGTCAAGTAGAGATTCTCTCAGAAATACAAAGCTATTACACCAGTAGGCTAAAAAAGAAAAATCAAGTATTATTTAAATAAATTACAAAAGGGCATTTGAGTCAATATCCGTTCCTAATATACACATAGGATTCCTCCTTAAAATTTATCAAGTGTCCGTTCCATCCTTAAGTCTAAAATCAGCATTTTGCTTATTAATAGCAAAGCTCTTAGGCAGTCTCTCTAAATCTAGAAACCAAATAAGAACATCCACTATCACCATAATTTAGTATCATTTCAGATATCCTTAAAATAAAAGTAATAAAATATTGGAAAAAGCCATATTTGGAAACAAAGACTGACATGAAAATCCAAAGGCATCAGCTAAAATAAAGCAGATAATAATGAGTTCTTTAAATTGGCTGGAACAGATCAAAGTCAACAGCCTTACAATACACTGGCAATAACCAGGTTTTCAGCCTTATGATGGGGGAGAATGGATTCCAATCATATCAACAAAAAACAAGAACAATCAATTCACTCCTCAACCTCTCTTAGAAACCATCCTCCATCATACTCTATTTAGTAGCTCCTACCTCTCTGCTCCCGGAGTTTCCTGTGCAATA